GTAGGTTAACATGCAGAAAATAATATATTTTTTTCTGCCTGAAACGACCATTAAAAAATTAAATATTAATGATTCCCTATAGTAGGATAAGGAACTGAAACGGAATTGAAAAATGATAAATGTGATGAACTGATAAATACGAATTAAAATGAATCCATGTCTGGTTCCTTCTAACTAAGGAAGTATCATCATCGTGTCCGCTGTAAATTAATGCTCTGAGACAGGAACTTTTAAGACAATGGGCGTCTGCTGACGCTACCTGCTGTCAACTCTTCCGGACTTTCCGGAAGATTTTTATTTTATATATAAGGGGAGTCGGTAGAGTAATATCTGTAATATCTGTAGAGTAATATCAGATAATACTAAATCTGACCTTTTTCGATGTACCTTTTCTCAGGATCTAAACAAGATATTACTTCATTTTTTTCCCACAGAATATTTGCAAATACACTGTGATAACTGTTATAACACATCTTTAACAGAAATTTAAAAAAAAACAAACTTTGAACTGAGAATTTTTAAATTTTTAAAACGTTTCATCATTTTTGAGCAAAAATCGTTTTTAACTCAAAAAGTATTCCTGTTAACTCTAAAACATTGTCACTTCATACAACTAATATAATCTTAAATATCCAGAAGAAATTTCAAAGCGATACCATAATAGTTCGAAAAAGGTTAGTTTTAGCATTATTGATATCCCTTAATGCCATAGCAAAATTTATATAATCATATTTTATTCTTGTTTAAAAAAAATACGATTTAAAATGATTTTTACTACCACTACATTTCAATACTTTGAACATAGTATATATGTTAGGCCTGCTAGCTCTCTAAAAGTGTTATTAGCTGTTGGCCAAATTTTAACGAAACATCAGGTTACAATCTCATTTCACAACTAGAATGGGGCGGGGACTCTTAACTGTTTGGATTTGAATGTTTATGTTTGCCTCATAAGTAAGGTGATCTCCGCATCAAGGAAAGAGGATCAACCGGTTAATTAACAATTCTGATATGTATAAAAACGTGACTTTGTGAAAGTTTGAAAAATGGAAAACTTCTTCGCACGCTTAAGAACCGGTTTTTGTGTATATTCAGAGCAATGATGAAGCAGCATCGTAACGAAAATATTTACGTTTTGGCTTGTGGCGTAATTACCACTACGAAAATTAAACATCAATTCACTGGTATTTAAGACATGCTAACTTAGTTCAATTATGAGGTACCTTTTGATAGATGAAGGTTGTTTTGATCGATAACTTCATCCCAAACATTGGTGACCCGGACGTGATTTGAACACGCAGTAACGCCCACTTCGATCTGGTAATGCCTACTTCGATGGATGATCCACATCGAACAGTTGACTTGCTACTTGTGACTGCGACATTATCCACCTCCTCACGCTGTTGCTACTCAACTGCTTAAACAGTAATTAATTGCGATTTTTATTATGATTCCATATCTATTAACATCAGAGAATTTATACAGCAGTCCTTAAATGAAAGCATTGAAAATTCAATAATTGTTAGAAAAAATATCTTCTTTTAACTACTACTTTAGATTGAAGAAGGAATTTTAATATAATTTCAACTTATTCTTATAAATGTATTACAAATGCTTAGCTTATAACCGTCGTTGAACTGCCGATCCGATTTGAGGCTTACGACTACCAGTGTTCAGCTCCGTAACCTTGCAATTTTGAACCCAATCCAGAAGACAAGGAAACTCCTGGATCAAGTATTGGGAGAAATTTAGCTTTTCGTGGAAGACTTTTTAATGGAACTTACCCGTATTTGCGTTACATGGAAAGGAAAACCACGAAAACTTCTTACGGTTAGCCTGACGGCAAGGAAACCCTAACCCCTGATCCATCTACCATCGATGATATTTTACATCAGCATTGTGGTCGGTGCGAGCCGGGTGCGGAATTTGTATCAACCAGCCATCGCTAAGATTTGAATCCGGTTCACCTCTATGGAAGGCGAATGCTCTATCCCTTGAGCCACCTCAGCTCAAATGCTTAGCTTAGACAAGATAAATGTTACACGATTAAAAGCTTTATTGGCTTCAAAAAAATATAAAAATGGTAAAAAAAAAAAAAACGTGTTTCAAGAGCTCAAAAATAGGTGCTCATTCTCGAGGCTTGTGAGAAGTCTTTAGAGTAAATAGTGTTTGTATTATTTCGTAACCGGAATATTTTATTAACTTTAAATAATTATATTTAGATCAGAAGACTCACGCAATTTAAATTTAACTAGGAGGCTCCGCCCCCTGCTCGCTAACGCTCGCCAACCCCCGAGAATTGCTACGCAATCCTATGTGGCTCACGCCGTGAACCATGGCTCGCTGCGCTCGCTCGCCAATGAACACAATGTTCTAGCACAAAGACATAATATATTATCATCAAAGACATAGTATTTTATCATCAAAGACATAGTATTGTACTTATGTAGAAGAATTCTACCAATGTTCTTATTGGCTTTTAAAAAAGTATATTAGCTATTTAGATTGTACATGGTGAAAAAATCAAAACATTAGCTAAATAAGAAACATATTAGCAAAATAAATTATCAAATATTGCTTCACTAATATTCTGCATTTTAAAGCGTGAAAATTCAATGCATAAATAAACGCGAAATATAAAAAAATTCAATGCATTCAATACAAACACTTAAACGTTTTTTAGACGTTTAGGTAGCTCCCAGTAGAAAAATATCAATTCAACAGCGGCCTTTTAAAGCATTCTCACTTCAATTAATTAATTAATTTATAATTGGGTATACTATAGCCTACGTCACAGGTTGTGTTTTTCCTACTAAATTTAACCCATGAACGGCATTTTCTGCGAGCCTAACTTCAAGCCACAAATAAACAAACGAAGTGTTTGATCGTTAAAATAGCTGCTCGCCAGATTTTATTGCATTATAAAGATTGATATTCGATTTTTGATTAATAATTGATTTATGTGGATAGTGGCATTTATGTGGATAGTGGCCAGTGGCGTAGCTAGGTAACCAAGGGCCCTGGGGCAAATTAAAAAATGGGGCCCCACTGCTATGTAAACTGATTAGGTTTTATCAAATAAAAATATGAAATATACAAATACTTTAAAAATGCTAAGCTACTTAAGCTCTGTTTTGTGCACTGCAGGGCAGGTAATAAAAATATTAAGCAGTAACAACATAAATTACAATTAATACTTGGTGTAGGTTCAGCTAATAAAACGAAATAGAGAAGATTCAAGGGTTTATTATATAAAGGTCGGGCCTACCAACTGACTAAATAACAATTATATTTACAATTTTTTCCTAGCTTTAGTTTTCGCAAAAGTATCAATGACTTCGTTTAAATCCAGGCTTGATGCGGTTCTGTTTTCAATTGCTATTAGCGATAAATGTTGGAGTCGAGTTTGGCCCATATTATTTCTTAATTTTTTTTTAATTATTTTTAATTTGCTAAATGACCTTTCATCTGCTGCAGAAGTGACAGGAATTGTAAAAAATAATAACATTGCTGTAAATACTTCCGTTAGGTGGCATTCTAGCACTCCATATTTGCTCATTATTTCCTTACATAATTGGTGAACAGTCCATGCTTGAGTTAGTTGAGGTAAAACTAAAACGTGCTTAAAGAGGTGCTAATTGAGGTGGTAAATAAGTTGAAGTGAAAAACTAGGGCCTATTATATCTGAATATTTTCTTTGGAATTCGTCACACTTTTGTAATAAAGTTGATTTATCAACATGTAATAAAAATGTTGGTGTTAGAAAATCGAATCTATGACAGACTGCACTCAAAGCAATAAAACGTGTATCTAATTGAGATATTACTGTGTCTAGTACATTATAGAAAATCTCAATTTTAAATATTTTTTCTCGGTTTGGAAATCGGTGATCAGAAGCTAATTCATCAAAATGTTTTTTAACTTTTCTTTGCCTTTTTTCTTGAAAATGGGTATCAATACCATATTTTCTTGCAGTTTCACTGGCTTTGCACTTGAATAATTCGAAATAATTTCTATAAATTTGCAACTGTGCTTTGGTCTCTGCTAAAACTTTACTCGCCTTGCCCAAATTGATGTCGCATTTTTGTAAAGTTTTGGATGCATAATTGATGTCGTTCAATACACTGTGCATGAATTCGTAAAGCAACACGAACTCGAAATTTAGCATTTTTGTTTTAATACTCTCTGCTTCACTACGCTCATCTTTATTAGGACTCTTTAGAACTATTTCTGATAATGTCTTGATAATATCAAAATAGCTAAATTTTATTGCAGATATCGTATTGACCCTACTGGACCATCTAGTCGGATTTAGTTTTTTTAGAGTGAAGTCTGATTCGCCAATGAATTTTGACAGTAGATCCCAACGTTTGATGCTGTTTCCGAAAAAGTTATACAGATCATGCAACGTTGCGAAAAAATTCTGTATTTCCACACAACTGCTAACGGCATCATTTATCACCAAATTTAAATTATGAGTGGCACAATGTACTTACTCTGCGTTAGGCTGGATATCCTTAATATGTTTTTGTACACCATTATACACACCACTCATCACACTGGCTCCATCATAGCCTTGCCCCACACATTTTTTTAAATCATTTTTTTTTGTCGATAAATAATGTTGTCACTTGGTTGACTAAATCTACTGCGCCATGTTTAATGGCTACCTAAAAGCCTAGAAACACTTCTTTTACTTCTATATCAATTGGCTGTCCATTCTCCGGTTTGGTTATCACTGCATACCTCACAACAATGCTTAGCTGATCTACCTTCGATACGTCCTGTGTCGTATTCATTATGATGGCAAAAAATGGTGACGCTCTAATTTGTTCTAGTAGATGGGTTTCGAGTTTGGTTCCCAAGCTCTCAATCATTTCATTTTGAATTGTTGCACTCAGATATCTTGTAGATCCCAAAAACATAAAAAAACACAATTTCAAAAAAGTCCCGTTATTAAACAGTTAATAATTATAAACGAAATAAAACGATAAAGAAACTTAGAAATAATTATTTTTACCTTTGGGCATATCCATAACTTGCCGCAAAATGTGATCATATCGGGCGACAAGCTCTTCAAAGAACAGAAAATTTCCGTGGTGTCCTTTCTGACTTAAATCTTCTTGATGTCCTCTCAAAGCCAAAGAACTCTTTGCTAGGGTAAGTATGATATCGAATAACCTTTGAAGAACCATTTTCCAAAATGATGCTTCTTTGCGAATTTCATTTTCAAGTTCCTTGTCGATAGTATTAGTATCGTTTTTTTTCCAAAATTCATACACAGCACGTGCTTCCGAATGGCCACTCGAACAACTGTGTTGTTTAATTTTTTCTGATAAATGCTTGCAATCTCGAATTCCCGTACACCAAACATTATTCCTTTGTGAAGCAAATAACCAGCAGGGTTGACAATAGGCAGCGTCTAGTATTTTGGAATAACACAACCAAAAAACGATTAACTGGCCCATATTTAGAACACTAAACGTAGTACGATTTTGAAAAACACCTATTGTTCTGGTTAATGTCTGTTGGAAAAGGTCCTGAAGGCTGTAAAGACCCCATATCAAGAATTTGACGTTTTTCGCTTAATATCATGTTCGTGAAGTTTTCCAAGTCATAAGAAGATTTGTCGTACACATTTTTGAAAAATGTAGAGGTCTGTGGATCCTCCAAACCCTCCGCTCTTATGTGTGTCATGCAAACATCATCCACGTTCACATGATCGGCGGCGGAGGTATCTCCAACTGCAATAATTGTCGAATCTTCTTCAGTAGGTTTCTCAACCAACACTGCAGTTACCACATTATTTGAGTCACTATCAATAGAAATATTTTGTCCAGATGTACTTACAGAAGGCTGACTAAAAAACTCGTCAATTTTGGGCAATTTTTGTTTACTATCTTCTCTTTCTTGGCGTTGTTTGCGTTTAAATGCACCACTGGGTTTCTTCTTTTTATCCATAATTTTAGTTTTCTAATTTATTTAACAATACAATATTAGATTGTGCTCGAGTAGGTAGGTACTCACTGTTCACTGACGACGTTAAAAGTAAAATAAAAGGAAAGAGAAACACAATGATACGCTACAAGTGTCGTTGGGGAATCCCCGGAAAAAAAATTATCACCGTTAGCGTTACCACATTTAACGGTGGAGACTGTAATGGTTGGCAACTGTTTGGCGACCTTTTAAGGCGCATTTGGCGCATTTTGTCATCCCGTCGGAGGGATGCGAGAGAGAAAGGTAGATGTATGTTTGATATAATCGGGAGAGGGTCTCCCTTGGTATTCTAAGAGCTGGAAGCTTTTACTGGAAAACAATGCCTATTTCTTTTGTTTTTAAATAAAGTTAAGTTTTATTATTTTAAAAATCATGGTCTGCTTTTTTATTGGTGAGGAAAGGCATTACAGAGACCATGAACGATCTCCTGCCCTCGGACCTGAATTAATGTACCTACTGCAGATGACTTGCATTTTTTCACGATATTTTACGTTATACAATGAGCTGTAGCCGAAATCTATAGATTTGACACGATTTATTGACTTGACGGACATCAATATGAGTGGTAAAATTAAATAAAATTGAACCACTATATTGACCAGTACAAAAAAGTTTATTGACATTAGCTTACTTATTCCTGATACAGCATTAATTTTTTAACCATTCTCGAAAAAAAAAATCTTAACTCGAATTCACAATAAAACGTTCATCAATGAATAATAAAACGCACATATCACTATCCGTCAAATTGACAACACTGCCAACCTAAAGAAAGAATTTAGGGGAATTCCCTAGGCATAACTTTTGAATTTCTTTCAACTGAGTTGTCATGATTAAAGTGGGGTTGCAACCTGTCATATTTATTTTGAAAATGGGAGAAATTTCCAAAAGTTCAGTTCGATCGAAATTTCTGGTAAGGATTCGAGGGCCCCCTGAGCTTGAGGGCCCCGGGGCACTGCCCCGCCTAGCCCCTGGGTAGCTACGCCACTGATAGTGGCATAGAATTTAGCATTGCGTCATGATAAATGTTATTCCTACTAAGTGAAAGTAGTTGTGTTTTTTTTATATTATACCCAATTCACTGGAAGAGCTGTCACATTGGTATTTTCAACTCGAAATACTGCTATATCACTGCCTTTATACACATACTTGCAAATATATTTGATGCTCTTCCTTTAAGGGCGTGCATAAGTATTAGAGTTTAATATGACTTGTTGCAACGTGCTTGAATATTGTTTTTTAATTGTTATGTTTCCACGTCTAGTTTGGATCCGAATACGATTAAATAAAGATATATTTAAAATATACGTTAAATCTGTCCAAAAAATGAAAAAAAATTAGTTATAAACCTATTCTCAGACCTACTGAATATACATATAAAATTTCATCAAAATCGGTCAAGCCGTTTAGGAGGNGTATCGATCAACCATTGCTGGGATTCGAACCTGGACTATCTAATTGGGAGAAAGCTCTCTATCCCCTGAGCTACCACCCACCGCGGCTAACAATTATTCATCACTATTTGGTCAAGCCAAGACAACGTCCTCTGATAATGGCACCAAACTTCAATATGAAAAGATACAGTTTTGTGAAAATGAAAAGTGCTTGTGTGGGCTAATTTTTCACTGCTTTAAAAGTAAGCCGTTGTGGCTCAGGGAATAGAGCGTTGTGGCCCATGAGGTGAACAGGGTTCGAATCCCAGCGAAGGTCGGTTGATACGAATTCTGCACCCGGTTAGCTGACGCAAAATATCCTCAGTGGTAGACGGATCATGGGTAAGAGTCCCCCTATCGTCTGGCTCACCGTGGGAGGTTTGCGTAATTTTTCTCTCCGTGTAACGCAAATGCGAGTTAGTTCCATCAAAAAGTCCTCCACGAAGGCAAATTTCTCTAAATATTTGGTCCAGGTGTTCCCTTGTCATCTGGATTGAGTTCAAAATTATAAGGCTACGGAGTTGAACATTAGTAGTCGCAAACCCAAATAATTGGGTCAGCTGTTCAACGACGGTTATAAAATAAAAATGAAATATTCAAAAATTGACATAAACGCTGCGTTATCTGGACTCAAAATTTAAAAAGGGAGAATTGTTCATTGATAATCTAAGTGGGAAAAATCAGGAAATGAAAAAATATCTCATAATTTCTAGAATATTGTCTATTCTGAAGCCTAGATAAATCTTTAAGTCAAAATTGTGTATCTTAAATTTTTTCAAAATTAAAATTTCAAAATGAAGTCAATTTTCAAAATTTGGTAACTAAGTTCAACACGTCATATTTCAATGAACAAAATTATCTAAAAATTATTCAAAAATAAAAAAGGAAATTACGGATTTATTATTGTTCGTAGGTTAACATGCAGAAAATAATATATTTTTTTCTGCCTGAAACGACCATTAAAAAATTAAATATTAATGATTCCCTATAGTAGGATAAGGAACTGAAACGGAATTGAAAAATGATAAATGTGATGAACTGATAAATACGAATTAAAATGAATCCATGTCTGGTTCCTTCTAACTAAGGAAGTATCATCATCGTGTCCGCTGTAAATTAATGCTCTGAGACAGGAACTTTTAAGACAATGGGCGTCTGCTGACGCTACCTGCTGTCAACTCTTCCGGACTTTCCGGAAGATTTTTATTTTATATATAAGGGGAGTCGGTAGAGTAATATCTGTAATATCTGTAGAGTAATATCAGATAATACTAAATCTGACCTTTTTCGATGTACCTTTTCTCAGGATCTAAACAAGATATTACTTCATTTTTTTCCCACAGAATATTTGCAAATACACTGTGATAACTGTTATAACACATCTTTAACAGAAATTTAAAAAAAAACAAACTTTGAACTGAGAATTTTTAAATTTTTAAAACGTTTCATCATTTTTGAGCAAAAATCGTTTTTAACTCAAAAAGTATTCCTGTTAACTCTAAAACATTGTCACTTCATACAACTAATATAATCTTAAATATCCAGAAGAAATTTCAAAGCGATACCATAATAGTTCGAAAAAGGTTAGTTTTAGCATTATTGATATCCCTTAATGCCATAGCAAAATTTATATAATCATATTTTATTCTTGTTTAAAAAAAATACGATTTAAAATGATTTTTACTACCACTACATTTCAATACTTTGAACATAGTATATATGTTAGGCCTGCTAGCTCTCTAAAAGTGTTATTAGCTGTTGGCCAAATTTTAACGAAACATCAGGTTACAATCTCATTTCACAACTAGAATGGGGCGGAGACTCTTAACTGTTTGGATTTGAATGTTTATGTTTGCCTCATAAGTAAGGTGATCTCCGCATCAAGGAAAGAGGATCAACCGGTTAATTAACAATTCTGATATGTATAAAAACGTGACTTTGTGAAAGTTTGAAAAATGGAAAACTTCTTCGCACGCTTAAGAACCGGTTTTTGTGTATATTCAGAGCAATGATGAAGCAGCATCGTAACGAAAATATTTACGTTTTGGCTTGTGGCGTAATTACCACTACGAAAATTAAACATCAATTCACTGGTATTTAAGACATGCTAACTTAGTTCAATTATGAGGTACCTTTTGATAGATGAAGGTTGTTTTGATCGATAACTTCATCCCAAACATTGGTGACCCGGACGTGATTTGAACACGCAGTAACGCCCACTTCGATCTGGTAATGCCTACTTCGATGGATGATCCACATCGAACAGTTGACTTGCTACTTGTGACTGCGACATTATCCACCTCCTCACGCTGTTGCTACTCAACTGCTTAAACAGTAATTAATTGCGATTTTTATTATGATTCCATATCTATTAACATCAGAGAATTTATACAGCAGTCCTTAAATGAAAGCATTGAAAATTCAATAATTGTTAGAAAAAATATCTTCTTTTAACTACTACTTTAGATTGAAGAAGGAATTTTAATATAATTTCAACTTATTCTTATAAATGTATTACAAATGCTTAGCTTATAACCGTCGTTGAACAGCCGATTCTATTTTGGGTTTGCGACTACCAGTGTTCAGGTCCGAACGTTACAATTTTGAACCCAATCTAGAAAACAAGGGAACTCCTAGATCAATTATTGGGAGAAAATTGCTTTCGTGGAGGACTTTTTGATGGAACTAGCCCGCATTTGCGTTGCATGGAAAGGAAAACCACGAAAACTTCTTACGGTTAGCCTGAGGGCAAAGGAAACCCTAACCCATGATCCGTCTACCACCGAGGATATTTTACGTCAGCATTGTGCTCGGTGCGAGCCGGGTGTGGAATTCGTATCGACCAGCCATTGCTAGGGTTTGAACCCGTTTCACCTCTATGGAAGGCGAATGCTCTATCCTCTGAGCCACCTCAGCTCAAATGCTTAGCTTAGACAAGATACATGTTACGCGATTAAAAGCTTTATGGGCTTCAAAAAACTATAAAAATGGTAAGAAAAATAAAAAAAACGTGTTTCAAGAGCTCAAAAATAGGTGCT